AGAAAGAAAAAAAACAGAAAATTCAAAAAGAAAAAAAAAATATATAGGTATATATATATGAAGAGCAAAATTACGTCGTCAATAAAAAAAAATATATAGACGACGAAAATGACGATACGGTTGAATATAAACGTTTTATCTCTATTCCCTATCGTCCGAAAAGGAATGAGCTTCAAAGATAGATACAAAAGTCATTTGTGAAAATAAAAATAAAGTGTAGTTAAGTAGCCGTATTCTCCGTTGGTGTTAGGTCTTAGTCACTTTTCCTATATATCTCCCTACCGTACCCCAAGCCTTGTTTTTCGTTACACCATTTAAGACCTTTTGATTTATAAGCATGTATTTTATCCAAGTAGTGGAGAGTGAGAGACTTTTCAAGTATATGGTAAGTACATGCTATACATTGACGATTTGAGCGATACACTTTTAACCCAAGGAGTGAATCGAGTGTTAATTTGTTAATCCCATTCGTGAGAGTTCTCGAGATTAGCTTGTGTCTACTTGATTGCGTGTGCATCCTCTTTTCAATGCTTTGTAGCAAATCTCAAAACTCATGATATGCTATATGTGTTGACATTCTCGTTAGATTCGATTTTTATAATTACGTGTTAACTTAAGTCATTGCCGGGACGGACAATGATCTAAGTGTGGGGGAATTTGATAAGTACAAATTTATACATTTTTACGTCAAAATTACCTTRAGATTAATGTCATTTAGATGTTTAAAATATCCATTTTTATTTAAGTTGATATTTAATCCTATGAGGCTATTTTAGTTGGGAAAAGAAGAAGAATTTATTATTTGTTTTTGGTTCCTTGCAGCCCTGCACTTGCTGTCTTCAAACAGCCAAAATTAGGCCCAAAAACAGCCCAAAAATAGCCCAAACAGCAGCAGCCCAAGGCTGCTGCCCAAATCAGAAGTCGAGAGAGAGATTGTGCAGTGAGAGAAGTCGGGAGAGAGAGACGTGAGCAGCAGCAGTAGCAACGTGGGCATCAAGAGAAAGAGAGATGGAATCGAGAGGAAAGGGAGAAATCGGGAGGGAACAATCGAAAGGGGACAGCAAAGGGGCTGTCATCGAGAGAGGCAGCAGAATCGAGAGAGAAGGGGGCTATCATACAGCAGCCGAGAAGGAGAAGAAAGCTGTCGAGGACAACAGGTTATCGAGGAGCAAAATCGGTCGATAGAGGCGAGAGGGAGCAATTGAGAAGGACAACAGCCTAGAGGGAGAGAAAGCGAGAGGTGCGAGAGGCTATCGATTGGAATTGAGAGGGAGGAAGCAGCCGAGTCTGTCGATAGGGGGCTGTCGATTGGAAGAGGAAGGGTTGTCGATCGAGAGACATAAACGAACCAGAATTCGGGAAGAACTAGTAAGTCGATTTTCAGATTTTTGGAGTCGATTTTGGATTTCTCAATTTCAATTCTTCATGCTCTACTGCTTCCTACCATCAGTAAGTTTAACTTCTGTTTCGAATTAGAATTATGAGTTGCTAATTTTCTGTTTCTAGTAATGGGTATGTGATTACTTTGAAATTTGGATGAGTTGAGACTCAACTTTGTTCCATAATCGATTGAAATCATTTGTACAATCTTTGAATTTCAGTCCTATACATTTTGAGTTGGATATTTTGAGTAGGATCCCTTGTTATGTCTAATTCAATTTCGAGTTGCTAGATAAACCTTTAAGTCCGTAATTGCTTTTCGGTTTATTGAAGTAGCACACGACACACAGTTAACATTTATGTTAAATGATGATGTTATAAGATCGTATAATCTAATCTAAACAATCGGCGTCCGGTTGTCGGTTAGTGTTGGGTTTGTTTGACATTAATGCAATTGGCAATTAAATTCTAAGTCCGTGACTAGGTTTGATTAGCTAATTAGAGATTAGTCGTAGAGTGTTCAAGACTGATCATGCTTTTATAACGAACAGAATATTGACGCGTGTCGATATCGTAACCAACTTAGTTTCTTTTGAGAAAACTGATTGAATGAGTCGATGATATATAATCCAAAGAATTAGTTGATTGATGCTCATTGCTAGTCTCATCCTTATTATTGTTTAAAGTTTCCAGTTTATTTTGCATATTTAGGCTATTTATAAATCTCACGCCGCCAGGGGGTGCCCCCCTTGGACCCCGTCACCGGGGGCGCTGCCCCCAGACCCCTGTCGTTTAGGGGCGTCTCCCCTAAATCAAAATAAACTCAAACAAGTGTGTACTACGTACATTCCTTGCTTGTTCGATATTTATCATGATTACATTGGTCAACAAATTAATTCCATTACACTTAAATGATATTAGTGATACTAATCACCAACAGTTTATGAAATGAATTAGTACAACTAAAAGTGAAAATATATACTGTAGAAAATCAGGTGTGCAACAAAACCCAATAAATTGACCCGATCTGATCCAACCCTAGGTAACATACAACCTAATTGACAAAACAGTGTTGATCCACAAAGTTTCTGGTTGGAATTGAGTTGGGCCCCAAAAAAATCAACCTGACTTGAATAAACCGGCTATCCCCAAGATGCCTTCACCGTTTAGGCCTCTACCCCCAACCAAAGTGTCCAATGTATATATGGACGTGAGATCGTCTGAGAATAACAGTTAAGGTAGGAATGACGTGAACTTTTTTTAGCTTTAGGATAAGTTGACCTTTTAATCTACCTTCAACTACTTCAAATATGTACAACTTAGTCACTTTCATGAACTTTTACATACATTGAACCACTTTTACATGCATGACTTTGTTAAAGTTTCAGTATAAAAATAAACAAATAAAGGTAGTTGAATATATATGAAGATTTTGTTCTCACGTTCTCGTCATAACTTTTATTCTTATCGGAACTCAACCATATAGATATATACTTATATCATACTTTGAGGGTCGTTTGTAATTTTGTAACTAATAACAGAATTGGATGTCAATTTTATATAGATAGTCGTGGTTTGGATAACACATAGGACGGATCTAATTCGGGGCCCGAAAACGACTTGGTTAGATCATTTACAAAGCAACATACTGATCCTACTTGTTAGTAATTCTGTGACACTGTTCATCAAAATAGATTTCCTTCTTTCTAATTATTTATATGCGATTTCCTTCTACTAATTTATGATATTTGCCTTAATTTTATAGTAATTCAAAGCTAAGAGGAAGTAAATCATGTTGAGTTTTGCAAGATTGAAAGTGTCTTTGATGAGATTTTGCAGCTGTATAGAAACACTCGGCTCGATAAGATACTTGGATCCTGCTTGGGTGGCAACAAGGTCGAAAATCTTTAGCAAATGCTGGAAAATAATTATGGAGTTCTCTTTAAAGTGTGCGTTTGGTACGCAAGGCTAGACGGGACATATGACTGAATGGGCGAGAGTGAAAGAATTGTGCAAGATTTTAAGGTTTTAATTTGACATGACTAGCCTAGTAATTAATCCAGGTCCAGTACCAAATGCGTATGGTCAGTGAGAAGTTTATTGACGAGGGGGTGGAAGTCAACATTGGGGGCAAAGGGTACTTGGTATCAAACCTCCATGATTCAAAAGAAGGGCTAAGTCGAGGATGACACAACACATCGCATAAGATGGAGTGGCTAAAGCCGGGAGTGTTGCACGATAAGAACGTCCTAATAAAACTGAAGACCAAAGTTAACCTTCAGAATAATTATGTTGTATGGGTGGGGGGTGTTAGCCATAACATGAACAGAAGATGGAAGATGTAGAAACGAGAACGCTTAGATGGATCTATGATAGAACCATGTTTGACAAGATGCCGAACAAGGCAGTGTTGAGAGTTAGGCCGATCACAAATAAGTTGGAGGAAACATTGTAGTGGTTTGGTCAGTTCAAATGGTGACCCTAGTGAAAAGAATGCAAAGCGTGATGAAATAGTGGTTAATGCAGGTGGTAAAGAATCAATAGGAATCAAGTGGTATGAAAGCTTAAGGAGGTACCCTTTAGGCTTGAAATCCTTGATTTTACCTTCAGTCTAATTATCTCCCTAATGTGAAGAATGTATTGTGATAATTGGATGCTGTAGTTTTATTCTGTTCAGAACATGGAATCAGGTTAACTGGTTATGGCGTAGTGGTTGAAGCCCTAGGGGATGTGGTGGAATATTCCATCTGCCCAGGGATCGATTCCAGACGTACACAACAACTTGTGGCCATTAAGTTTATCAAGTTTGATTTCGTGCGGTCACAATTTACTGGGATTAGTCTAGGTATAACGTGGGACATCCTAAAAAAACATGGAAGTAAGTCATGCATGATTACTCGTTCTATTTTTGTCAGGTTTAAGCCACAAAGTGTTGGCCCTGTTGAAAAGAAAACAAACCACCGCCTGATTTCTCAGGATCTTTAGATTAGAAATGAAATGGTTATGCCTGCTTCCACCTAGGCGACTGTTAAATCTGTCTTCTAGAACACCGAATCGGCTAAAAGTCTCATTAAGCCGGAGTTTGTTGGGTAGCAAGTCCGTGAAGGTTAAAATAAGACTTGTGTCAAGCACGCAGAGTAGTCAAGCCAAAGAATGAAGAATGATTGAGCCAAAAACTTATCCCAAGTATGGTTCAACCAAAGTGGCGGGTGAAACAATGTGTTCAGTCGTAGGTGTAACCATAAATTTTTGTAGCTAATCTTCTTTTAACTTGATTGCTCAGGCTTTTATATGGAACATGAAACCGATGGTCTTGATCTACCCAAACCATGACCAATTGGTTTTTCGCCTTTATCTTGGTACATTGTTCAATTGTCACTTACTATTTCTATTTCTTTAGAACCGACAAGGTGTCCCCATAGTCGGTCTACAGATGCTAGGGACAGGTGGTGCAGAAGAAGACGGTGGTTCATATCATGGAGTTAAAACTCATCCTAAAGCTTATCACTTCTAATTGCATTTCAAATGAACCCAAACATCAAGCAAGCAAAACAACAGAAGACAAATACTTCGATCATTAGCACAACAATTTATCAGAGGTACACATGCAACAAAGAGTATCATAAAGAACCTCACTTTATTCCACTTTATACCAAGGGAAATATTGTAGCAGCAACTACAGTAGAATTCAGAAAGACAACAGAACAAATAATCATCAGAGAAATTATATATAACATGCATGTCATCTATATGTGCTCCAAACAGCAGGTATACATGGAAGACAATCTAGCACGCATACCTGATCTTGTTAAAGGCCTACAAACTCCAATCGGTACCAATATTAGAAGAACCACCAAGTATATCCTGTATGCAAAAGTCATCGCCAATTGAACCCAACCCATCAAGCAATCCATTGAAAAACCCATCATCCATGTTGTCATCAACCCAATCCATCCCCTTCACAGGATTACTACTCCCATCCTCTGCATTTTCCACCACCAGTGCCGCCACCCCTTTTGCCTTCTCATCCTCCTCGGCCACCACCTCTTCCGGCATGGCAGGCATGTGTCCCTCAAAAAGAGCCATATGCCCAAACAACTTATCCTTCCTTGAGAAACTTGTCCCACATGAACATTTCCACTTTGTCTCTCCACAATGCTTCAAATGGCTTTTCAGATCAGCCAGCACCGAGAAATTCTTCTTATGGCACCGATTGCAAGAATACATCTTAGGGCAATGACTCCTCTTGAAGTGATTTTTCACACAGATGACAGACTTCAAGGGCCTGAACTTTTTGTGCAGTTTGTTCCTGCTACACCCACCAAATGGGCACGAAAACCTCGTCCTCCCACCACGACCCGACTCAGAAGCCAATACTGATTTCTCAGGCTTCGCAAGCGCCTCGAGGGTTTTGAACTTGTTCCCATGAGCTCTCATATGCATTCGCAGATTTGCATCTCGTTTGAAACCCTTCCCGCAAATATTACAGAAATGTAAGTGTTCCGCTAGTAGTTCAACAGCATCAAGCTCTACAATATCCCAGTCTACTCCATTTTCATCATCGAAAACCTCTGTTTTCGGAAACCCTAACTCCATATCATGCTTCAAATTATTCAAATTCAGATCCGATTCCGACAAGTTTTTCCCATCAAAAGTCAAACTTGTTGACGGTTCGGAAGCATTGGTTTTTTCTGATTTTGATTTTGGGAGTCGAGAGCAGGAGAGAAGGGCAGTTCCGTTAACGATTACTTGGTTGATGGCAGAGCTGATCTCCTTGGAAACAATCTCCATCTGCGCTTCTCCTATGACAGTGTTGCTGTTGAGTGAATCCGAAAGGAATCGTTGGACATGGTCTATTCGCGATCGCACCTTGGAGAGGTTGAGGAGCGGGACCTGAAGTCTATCGGCGGCATCGGCAGGGTCGTCTGAGTTCATCGGCGATCGTGAGGATGAGTCAATTGCGGTGGACAGGTGGGAAGTGACGAGAATCGTGGGAGTCAAACACCGGTGGATATTACCAAAAGAAAAGGACGAGCCAAATATAGAGCCAAAATATTACCAAATATCACAGGATGTAGTAGTTAAGTCTGAAGAAGTTTCATCCGTTGAAACGACTGCAGATAGGATTTTATTTTCTCTTGAAACTGCCCTTGGTGATGCAGTATTGTTTGATATCAATTGATTCCTTTTGAAACTCACAGGCATGCGCTTTTTCAAAGATCAGGCGACCCAACCTTATCAGTCAAGAAGTACAGCAACTACAAACAGTTACCATGGTGTCTGCTAATGCAATTTCTACAGCTTCTGCCAGCTAGGGGAGCATCTGATTTGGATGAATGGCTTCAAGAGATCCACAAGGGGAAGATCGGTGATGGTAGTCCCAAAGAGAATAATAAATCTGCCGAGGAATTTCTTTTCTCTTTGCTTCGTGCCCTGGACAGGTTACCTGTGAACCTTCATGCGTTACAGACTTGTAATGTTGGGAATCACCTACGTAGCCATAAAAAAAATTTATGGGCCTGTTGTTGAATAGTTTGGTGTAGAATGACTAAACGGTTAGAATGGTTAAGAGAGTCAGAATGGTTAAGTGTTGAATGAAATATTGTTGTTTGGTAAATGTTTACTTAATGACAACAAATTACCATTTTAACCCTATATGCTTTGGTCCTGTTTTTTATTGAACTAACAGATACCAAAAAAGAAATTAGGGTTTCACTCCCTCGATTTCAAAAAAGGGAAATGGAAACAGAGCAGTAGGAAATGGAAATTAGGGTTCCGATCTTCACRATTCCTTTGCTTTCCACCCACRAATGCTCACCTCTCTTGTCTAAWTCCTTAAACCATCCCCTTTTTCTGCCTCAATTTCCGGATTTCATGTATGAAACGCAMGCATATAATCCTAATTTGGATAAATTTATGGATCAGATAGATGATTCTCAAGTTACGGAGATGGAGGAAGTTTCGAGATGTTGTAGTTGCTAGAACTGCAGCGGCGAGATTTTCTTCATCGAACACATCAAATCGTGGGGTTATGAAAGGGGTCCGTATGTTCCTCGG